TGTTTGTTTAGGTTTTTTTTTTTTTTTTTGGAGGTTTTTGCTATAGAGTGTGTGTATTCGCCAAAAAGAAGACAGACAGACAGACAGAAAGCGAGAAATCACCCCCACCCCCCCGGGGGATGGCCACGCTGCAATCCCTTCTCCATTCTCCTCTTGGGATCTTGGGCACGCACGCACATGCGCCCAGTGTGAGTTTAAGTCACCAGGTCTGGGACTCAAACCGCGGTCGACTACATGGGAGTCCAGCGACATAACCATCACGCCAACTGCTGGTCCCTGTTTAGGTTTCTATTCCATGTTGAAAACCCTTCTCAGAAGTCAGGTAATGAAGGGTTACATGTGAGGAGTGGAGCTGGAAGCAGACAGGAAGCTTTGGGCACATAAGTGGTATTTCGTTGGAGAGAACCTGCAGGGGTTCTTCTTGCTTTACTGGAATGACCAAAGGCAATTTTAAGTCCTTGCCCAGTTTCCTTCCTGGGAGGCCTCTGACGACTATCTGTACGCATATCCGATCTTCTGGTTTTCAGTACAGTTCTCAACTGTGAGACACACCCTGTCAGAACTGACCTTCAGACTACTGTTGCAGTGGCGAAGGGCAACTGCTCGGTGGGGCGATCCTATTTTTGTCCCATCCTCCGTTGCGCAGGTGACGGGACTGTCAATCCCCTGCCTCCTGAGGCCAGTCCTCAGCTTGTCCAGCGGCCAGCTTCCAACTCAAGTGTCTCAGGTCTGCTGAATTAGTTAGTGCTCACTCGTGCTCTCCAGCTTCCAAAATCTTGGTGCCATCCTTTCCTGTTCTCAACCTGGAAGTGTCCTTTCCTTCTTGTTTTGGTCTCTTTACTATTTACTATCATTTTAATGAGTTTGAGAAAGAAGGAAGAGTGTGTGTGCAGGCACATTGGCATGGAACTGCCAGATCACTCTCTCCTTTTTTTTAAAATTTTGCTACAGGGCTCATGTGCTCACTGAAGAGAAACAGAGAGAGGGAGATTTAGAAAGTACCCCCCAAGGGGAACAGCCATGACACAATCCCTTCTCCTCCATTTTCCTCTCAGGATTTTAGGCACGCATACACACATGCCTGGCATGTTTTTCAAGCTGCTGGGTCTGGGATTTGAACCACACATTCGGCCACATGGGGTCAAGCCACCTTAACCACCATGCCACCGACTGGCCCTCCAGATCTCCTTTAAAGTGACTATTAAATATCATACTGTTAAACTCCTCATACTCTTTGCACAACTTTAATTAAATACATCCCTGGGACCAGCAGTTGGCGTAATGGCTATGTTGCTGGACTCCATATAATTGGCCGTGGTTCAAGTCCCAGACCTGGTGGCTTAAACTCATGCCAGGTGCATGTATGTGCATGCTCAAGTTCCCGAGAAGAGAAGGGATTGCAGCATGGCCGTACCTTCTGGGGAGTGATTTCTCGCTTTCTGTCTCTCTCTGTCTTTGTGGTGAGTGCATGTACCCTATAGCAAAAACCTCTCAAAAAAAAAAAAAAGAAGATAGATAGATAGATAGATAGATAGATAGATAGATAAATAAATCCCTACTTATCCTGGCCCTACAGGCTCCCAAGTGGACAAAGTTGTTGACTCCTAGTATTCTGATTACTTTTATAAAACCCCCAAACCAGGCAGAACTAACATATGGCATTAACAGTCAAGATGGTGATGGGGGTGTGGTACTTAAGGGAACATGAAGAGGTTTTTGGGATGTTTTTGGGATGGGATGGCACGCTGGGTGCCCACTAGGCAGGCACGTCCACGCTGTGAATGTGCATCAAGCTACACTCACGTGTGCTCTGCTTTGGTGTGTACTCTTGCCCAAAGGGAAACACACTCAGAGCCATCTCTGCCAGGAAATGTCTGCCATCAGCTTCAGCACAACAGAAAGGGGCTCAGGCTGCAGCCCAGCCCCTGGAGATTGGGAGCCCAGGGCTGGGAATGGACGTGCTCACTCCTCTTCATAGCACTACTTTCTGAGTGTCTGTTAACTGTCACTTCACACCACCGCAGCCCCAGCCTATGAGCTCACTCCACCAGTCTGCTCCTGTTCCCACCCTTTCAGCCAAGTCTGAGCCTCCATCGGCCCCTCAGCAGCACAGTACATGCTGACCACCCTCAACATGTCCTTCTCGTGTCTCTGAGACACCCCACACTCACGGTCTCCCTCCTGCCTCCCTGGCCATCCCACCTTAGGAATGGCTGACTCTTTCTCCTCAGCTCAATGCCCAATGTCAGTTTTCTCTCAGGTCTTAGTTGTGGTCCTCATCCTCTATTTTCTCCTAAGCGACTTCATCTGGTTCTCTGATCTTGAACCCCCATAATACAGATGACCCCCAAATCCTCACCAGCTTAGTACTGACCTATGTGCTCGACTGCCTCCTCCCTGGGCCTCTCACCTGAATCTCTAAGTGTCTCAGATTCCACAGTGGCCATCAGAACTCTTGAATGATCCCCCTACCGCAAGGCAGGAGACTTAACTCCTCATCTCCAAAATGGCATCTTATACATTCAGGTGCTCAAGTAAAGAGCCTAGGAGGCATTCCAGGTGCCTGTTTATCGCTCAGTCCCACTTCCAGCCAACCCCCAAGGTCTACTGCCTACTCTGTCTCAGTCCACTCACTTTGGGCTGTATCGATGCTCCCCCTCACTGGCCCCCTCCAACGTGTTACATAACCAGAGGTCTTTTTTTTTTTTTTTTTAGAGAGAGAGTTTTTTTTTTTTTTAAGAATTATTTAACTTATTTACTTAAATTTGACCAGAGAGGGACAGAGAGAGAGAACAAGCGAGTGAGCAAGCTGCCTGGTCCAGAACTTGAACTGTAGTCGGCCATGTGGGAGTCCAGTGCCCTTAACCATCATGCCACCTGCCAGACCCTTTAGAGAGGTGTTTTTTTTTTTTTTTTTTTTTTTTTGAGAGGTTTTCACTATAGGGCACAAGTGCTCGCCAGACAGACAGACAGAGACATAGAGACAGAAAGTGAGAAATCACCCCCCAGGGGGGATGGTCATGCTGCAATCCCTTCTCCTCTCAGGATTTTGGACATGCACACACACGCGCCCAGCGTGAGTTTAAGCCACCGGGTCTGGAACGCGAACCGCGGTCGACTACGTGGGAATCCAGCGACATAGTCATTACGCTAACTGCTGGTTCCCGAGAGATTTTTGATATAGGTTGTGTGTGCTCACCGGAGAGACAGACAGAACATGAATCACCTCTCCCCCCAGGGGATGGTCACTCCACAATCTCCTCCATTTTCCTCTTGGGATTTTGGTTACTGCTGCATGTCGCACCTGCCATGAGGTTTAGGCTTCTGGATCTGGGACATGAACTACAATCAACTACATGGAAAGCCAGCAACTTAGCCATTATGTCATCTGCGGGTCACACAACCAGAGGTCTTTTAAAAGGAAATGACTATCAGGGCCAGCAGGCGGTATGGTAGTTAAGGTGCTGAATTCCTATATGGTGGACTATGGTTCAAGTCCCAGACATGGCAGCTTGCTTTCTCATGTTCCTTCTTTCTCTTTGTCTCTCTCTAATGCATACACATGCCCTATAGCAAAGCAGGGGGAAAAAAAGAAATAAATTCTTAAAAGAAAAAAATGCAATGATTTCCATCCCATTTGGGCCTGACAGCTCTCTTGGGGACCTTCTGTGCCCATCTTTGACCATATCAGCCTCTCTCAACACCCTGGTCCCAATGCCCTTTCAGTTCTCCCAAAGAAGCTGGACTGGCTCCCACTGGCTTATTGGAAAAAGTCATGTCACATTTTTACATAGAAAAAAAATACATCATGACTTTTCCAACGACCCAATATTTCTGAGCCTCTGCCTGTAACATTCTTGCTTCAGATTGTCTTCTAAGATCATCCTTGTCACTCAGGGCTCAACTTCAATGTCAGCAGAGAAGTCTCCCCAAACCACCCTAAGGAAAGCAGGTCCTGTTCATTATCACAGGCTATGTCTGCCTTCCTGTGCTCCCTCTCTCCTCAACCAGCTCAGAGCTCCTGGGAGGGCAGGGCCTGTCCTCTACCACACTATAGCCCTGCCAAGCCATTGGACCTCAGCAAATATTTGAGGACCAAAAGAATGAAGTCCTAGGTGGGCCGTGTTTATTAAGGGTGGTGTTTGTGCAGGGTGACCCTAAGGCCCCGCAGCCAGCTGGCCCCAATGCTTCAAAGTTCCCAGTGGCTCTCTCTCACCCAGGTTTCAGTCACCTGTGGATGAACAGTCAGAGAATCTGCAAAACATGTACGACGAACGAAGGAAGT